AACCCCCCCCCCCACCCCCCACCATAACAGCCTGAGAAAGGTGATGGGACAGGCCTATGCACATGTTGGAAACCCCTCAGGCAGCAACTGTCCACTTCTCAGTGCAAGTTCCCTCCCTCCCCTCCCCAGCTCAGCCTGGCCTGCGGGCAGAGCGGTCCCCCTCCGGGCCCCTGATCTGCCATGAGATCTAGTCACTGAGCCCTGCAGCAACCCCAGCCTTTAGCTTCAGCACCGGAATTAACGGCTAGTGAGGCCAATTCCTCAGTGCCGGGGAGAGAGCGCCATGAGGGAACTAGTCCTTGGTCACAAAGCCAGCTGGAGTCCAGAGAGATTTCAGGGGCTTCCCTGGTTTTTCTGGCTGCATCATTTAATACTTGAGTCATCTCCTGAAATGTGTCCCGTCCCTCTCGCATCACACGCTGGTTGGCTGTAGGGCTGCTGACGGGCCATGCACACCGCACAGCCGCTTGTGAGGGCTGGGCTGCGTGTGTGTGTGGTGGGGTTATTATTGTGGGGCTGTTATTGTTATACAGCAACCTCCGTTGGTTAGTGTAGGATCCTGCCTGGCTACTGGGCAGCCAGGACTGGTTTCAGAAATGCTTAGAAAGCCAAACAAATCAGACAGAAGCTGGGAGGTGAGACTGACATTCTCCCTCAGCCCTGAGAGGGCCTGAAATTAAAGCAGAGATGTGTCTCTTTGTGCAGCTGGAATTGGGTATTTCCTGCAGCAGGGAGTGGGTGGTGGTGGGGGGACTGACCCCATTACACTTTGGGCAGGATCAAGTCACAGCAGCAAGTAAATTATATAGACACAGGCTCACCAAACATCATTACAGGAGAGGGGTGGGCAGCTCTGGGCGGGTCAGCAGGACTCAACTGCTCCTTCACCTTCACAGGACTCGTAAGAGACCAGCTCCCAAGGCAACTTGGGGTTTTTTAATGAATTTTGCTGGGAGTTTGGTAAACTCCCAAGGGACTGGGCTCAAAAGGGTGGGGAGAAGGAGAGAGACGACCTAGTCTCCAGGGCTGGAAGGGAATGGTTTTCTGTTCTGTTTGTTCTAGGATCCAGTCCAGTTAAGTAGAACAGCAAATATTGTAAGACTCATGATAAAAATCTGAGAGTTGGCAACACTGTAAATGTATTAGTAAAAGTCCCAAGCCTGGGAGTCAGGTTATTAGCCAAGGATCTCACTTTAAGAAAGAAAGCAAGCTAAATTCCTATTGCTCATGGGATAACCTTTGTTACCTGTAATCCAATCTCATGGGTTTTTGGACCCTGACTCATGATTTGTGAACCCTTTGGGCTGGTGATGCTGCTAATACCTGTATTTTAAAAGGGCTTTTTAGGTTTAAAAAGATGCATGTCTCTTTAATAGTAACAGTCTGTTCGGGTTTATACCATGCCCCTCACCAGGGTATCGGAGAGCCTCCCACAGCACCAGAGCTCTCTCTACAAGCAGAACTGGCTTGGTGAGATGGCTCTCTCTCACACACACAGGCAGTGGCCAGTTAATTGTCTCCTTATTAACCAGCAAGAAGCAAATTCTTCTGCATTGTTCCATTAACATCTGCCAGGACCGTTCAACTTGTTAATGAAACAGTGCTTCGAACAATTAAATGACTGATGACACTCAATTAACATGTATCAGAGGGGTAGCCGTGTTAGTCAGGATCTGTAAAAAGCAACAGAGAGTCCTGTGGCACCTTTAAGACTAACAGATGTATTGGAGCATAAGCTTTCATGGGTGAATTGCATCCGACAAAGTGGGCATTCACCCATGAAAGCTTATGCTCCAATACATCTGTTAGTCTTAAAGGTGCCACAGGACTCTCAATTAACATGCTGATTGGCCTCTCAGCTAATTGGCGCTGGCTTGGCCTGCTCCTTGTTGGTGGCGACTTCAGCCTTGAACGGTTCCTCAGCAGCTCCGGCCCCAGGGTAGCGGTTGGCCGGATCAGGCAGCTTCCTGCAGCCATGCCCAAGAGCTGGCTCTAGAGATGCCAGGCACTGTGCAGACTGCCTTGAACAGTACTGGCCAGGGGCGATCCAGAGTCCCCCAAGCCTGTGGGACGTTCTAACTAGCATTAGAGAGGCAGTGTGGAAGGTACTGGATTGGGAGTCAGCAGCCCTGGGTCTAACCCCAGCTCTGCTGGGCAAGTCACTTCTCTTTGGGCCTGTTTTCCCCTCCCACCCTTTCACTATGCAGACAGTCCCTTCCGCAGAGCTCACCGGGTGTGCACAGCACCCAGGACCTTGGGGCCCCAGCCTGCGAGTGACTGTCCCCTGCCAGAGGGCTGTGTACTTTCCCTTGGTTGTTAGCGGCCCTGCGGACAGCCCCTGCTGCTCCTAATCCTCTGTCAGTTACAAACCTAGCCTGGGAAACGCAGCACCCTCCCCTCCTCTAAGCTCCTGGTAACCTGGCATTCGTGGGGTTGCTAGAGCGCCATTCACATTCAAATCACCCCTGGGTGAAAGGCAGGAGACCAGGAACCATAGCAACCTGCAACACACACTAAACCCCTGAGCTCAGCCCAAACGGAGACTCCTTGGAGCCCAGAAGTAGCTGCTCGGAGCGCTCCTGGGTCCGTACTGCCAGCCCCGTAGCCCGTCGTCTCCCGAACCAGACACTGCCTCTCACGGGGGCGGAGGGAATCCCTCCGCCTGCCTGACCCACAAAGCCTGGGAGATGGAATCCCTGCGGTTTGCTTGTCTCTGTGAACTGTGCGACTGTGGGTAAGTGAGCGCTCGAACAGGCACAGAGACACACGCCCTTATTTATTTTTGCTGAAGGCTTCTAGAGCAAGACTGGATTCGTTTCGCCTTTCCCCCCCCTGCACACACCAGACCTGATCTTAAGCAAAAGCTGCTGGCACTGAGTTGGGCAGGCGGGCTAAAAGCCATGGGCAGCGGAGAAGGACAGCCGGCTGCTTTATTTCTCTCGCTCTAGGTCTCTTTCTCTCTGCGTTAGTATGGAGCCATTTTAGAAAGAGCTATCATCACTTGTACTGCTGTGGAAACCTAGAGGCATGAGAAAGTCTCTGCCCCACAGATCCTCCACGTGCGTGTCCATGGATATATTCTGTAGTGTTTACCCACATCCCTGGGGACTTACAGTTTTTAACCACCTCTTTACAGAACATGACAGGGGCCTGCAGCCGTGCCCTGAGCCATGTTGCTAGCGGGAGTTGGGTAATAGCAGGCGGGGGGGGGGTCATTTCACAGTATTTGGTAGCATCCCGCTCCTAGCTCCACCACAGGAGAGATCTCTTCCTCCTACCAATTGCATCAGTCTCCCCAGAAGCTCTGAGAGACGCCGAGTAGAGGGCAGCAATTCTCAGGGGCCCATCATCCGACTGCCCAGCACCCAGCTCCCAGCGAGCAGACCCGGCCGCCTTGGCGGTCACCTCCCCTGGCTCTGATGGCTCCCCTGAGGCAGGCAGGCTGGATGTGGAGAAAGTTCCCAGAGGGGAGGGGAGCCCGGTTTCGGTTTCTCTCTCTCAGCTGCTTCTCTGTCACGCTCAGTCGACACAAGCGCCACAAGAACTGCAAGAAGCGGAGCAGGCCAGCGCCTCAGGACTGCAGGAGGCCCCAGCTGTCCCATTACAAGGCAACTTACACCCAGCCACCAAGTAAGCGAGGGGAACCAAAGCAGCCTCCCTTGGGAGCGTTTTACACATGCCCCGTGCGCCTCCCGGTCACCTCCTCACTCTTCCTGCCCTCCAGACGTGCATCCTCGAAGCAGCAAGAGGCCGCTCCGCACCCCTCCACACCCCAACCCCCCGGCCATGGCCTTCAGCACCACGCAGCGGGCAGAGTTCATTCCCTGGGAGCTGGGCCAGAGGACCAAGCCGCCTGTCCAGGTAATGCCAGCACCGCAGCCGATCCAGGCTAGGCTCCTGCCATCCCCCTCTCCCGAGGAGAAAGGAGAACCCCTCTCTCTTCACCCGCCCCCTTGGAGAAGGCCAGGGGTCTATCCCACCCACACACCTGCCATGGCAAGGCCTGCAGGCCACGGGGGCTCTGTGAATTAACCCACCCGTCGCCCCTCATGTGGGGAGGTGCCCTCTGCGGCTGGGCACTCTGGAACCCAGTCAGCGCCAACAGGGGCTGCGCTGCCTGCTCTCCACTGGGGCAGGGTTAGCGCCATGGGTCGCTCCCTGGGAGCGGCGTGGGCCCAGCAGCCCCACGGGGAGGAGACAGGCTGACCTCTCTAGCCCCGGGCACGGGGCGGTCATGTTTTGCAGGAGGCGTATCAGTGCCCACAGGAGCCCTTCCAAAGCCAGAGTCTGTACCGCCTCCACTTCCCGCCCAGGGAGCCGGTCGTGACCACCCTCCGGCAGCCCCCGACTCCCAGGCAGCCTGACGGCTCCGGCTTCCCCCACACCACCACCACCAAGGAGAGCTACAAAGGATGGCGAGCGGAACACCCAGCCTGCTATGGAGAGCCACCAGCCCTGGCAGGTACAGCTGGGACCTGCCCCCAGGCTGAGATCGGCCAAAGGGGCTTCATTAACTTGGGGTGCCCCCATTCCACGTGCCCCATCCCTGAGTCCTGGATCCTGATAGTGCCCTGAGGGCTCACCGGCACTACGGGAGCCAGGAGGGGCTCGCCAATGCCAGACACCGGGCCCACAGTGCCTGAAGCGGGGCTGGGTTGTGCTGGGCTCTGTGCCCGGGAACATGCCCGAAGCCCGGGCTTCAGCCTGGCACGCTGGGAACACTGAGCGGCACCAGCCCCGTTCTCTCCACCCTAGGCGCTCTCCTGTCCCCTGACCGGGCAGCCGAGATGGAAAGCACCACGCAGCGAGAGTTCACTGAGAAACGCATCCCCAAACCGGAGCTGGTCAAAGGCCTCCAGGCTCAGCTCACCATTGAAGGTAACAGAGAGGATGAAAGCTTCCAACCCCACCCCGGCAGCACGCAGCCGCCCACGCTGGGTTCCATTCGCTATTGGCGTCTTAGCAATCCCCTCTCCCACCCGCGCGAGCGTTTCAAGCACCGCCCTCCTGGTTTTATTGCTTCATTCCGCTCACCCTCCCTCTGCAGCCCTCTCACCCAGTAGTTCTCAAACTTTTGTACTGGTGACCCCTTTCAAATAGCAACTCCCCCCCCCCTTAAAAAGTGTTTTTAAATTTATAACACTATTATAAATGCTGGAGGCAAGGCAGGGTTTGGGGTGGAGACTAACAGCTTGTAACCCCCCATGTAATAACCTCGCAACCCCCTGAGGGGTCCTGACCCCCAGTTTGAGATCCCCTGCTCTAACCAGCTTTGCGGGGCACAGGCCTGTCCCCCCGCTCAGTGCATAACAACATCCTCCTGGTCGGGGTTAGAACCCCGTCCCCAGGCCCACTAGCCCCTCCTGGGCCCACCGCTGGTTAGCGCTCGTGCCTACCTTCTTCCTGAAGGGCTGCAAGCAGCTTCACCCCAGCTACCGCCTTTCTCCAGGCCCTTCTCGCAGCGGCCTTGCCACGCCTGTCCCAGCTCCTCTCTCCTGGGTTCCTCCCAACTGCGTTCTCCGCTCTCTGTGCAGCCAGCTCCAGTCCCCCCCACAGCTGGGACCAGTCACTGGCTTCGCCTCCACATCACCTTCAGCTGCCAGGTCACAGCCAGGCTCACCCCGCTCCCTTAAAGGGCCAGCCTGTGACCGGGCCCTTTTCCCCTAGCCCAAGCGGCTCCCAAGGTGAGACAGTCTAGGGCAGTGATGCTCAACCTGTGGCCCAATCAGCACCGAGCTGCGGCCCATGTGACAGCCTCAGGGCCATACAGGTAGTATTGGATGCGGACCACAGTGATGCTCAGCCTGTGGCCCAATCAGCACCAAGCTGCAGCCCATGTGACCTCCTCAGGGCCATACAAGTAGTATTGGATGCGGCCCACAGACATAAATAGGTTGAGAACCACTGGTCTAGAGCAGAGGTCTTCAAGGGAGGAGGGGGTGTGCTGAAGTCTTCCGGGGGGGGTCCATCAGCTTATCTAGAGATTTGCCTAGTTTTACAACAGGCTATGTAAACAGCACTAGTGGAGTCAGTACAAACTAAAATGCCAGCCAGACAATGACTTGTTTATGCTGCTCTGTGTATATGCTGAAATGTAAGTACAATATTTATATTCCAAGTGATTTATTTTATAATTAGTGGTAAAAACAAGAAAGTTGGCCCCTGTTCAGTACTAGTGGGCTGTGACACAGGTGTATTTTGTCTGATTTTGTAAGCAAGTAGTTTTTAAGTGAGGTGAAACTTGGGGGTAGGCAAGACAAATCAGACTCTGGAAAGGGGTACTGTAGCCTGGAAAGGTTGAGAGCCACTGGTCTAGGAGTACATCTACACTGCAAGCATAGGGATGATGAGGGGGGGAAAGCTGGTACAAATTACTGGGGCCTGGCAGTCTAGAAGGGGGCCTGGGGCCTGGCTTCCCCTCCTCCCCCTGTTGTCTTACCAGGGCCTGGTCTGGAAGGGGGCCTGGCTTCCCCAGCTTCCCCCTCTCTCCCCCCCCCGCCCGTTGGCCCTGTTTAGCCAGTCTGCCCTTGCTGGGGGGCCTGAAAAAAAATTTTCACCAGGGCCTGAACCCACTCTGAGTGGCCCTGTGCAAGCGGCAGCAAGTCTATGGCCTGGGGCTCGTGTTGGGTGCTAAAAACAGCTGTGGGGAATTTGCAGCTTGACCTCTGCCACTCACCCCATTCCCTGGGGTTCTGAGCCCAAGTCTGAACAGCTCCATGTTATTCTTAGCACTGTAGCACAGCCCTGAGGACCCAGGCTCTGAGACTCCCTGCCCCTTGCAGTGTAGACCCCCCCCAGGAGGCTGGTCACGGCTAGGCGTTATGATACGACGCCGGACGTACAGGATGGGGCTGTGCCGTATGCAGGAAGCAGCACAAAGTTTCAGAGACTTGGCAGAGCTGAGCACACGGGGTGGGTGGGCTCGTTTCCATGTCATCCCTCAGCTGCCAGCCCAGGGGCTGTCTGAGCGCTGAGACGACATGGAAAGCCTGGGCTGAGCTCTCCCTGGGCTACTTTCCAAACCAGAGCTGGGAAAAGCTTCCCTATTCTCTAGCCTGAGTTTGAGACCCGCTGGGAGATGTATCATTTATTAATCTGGCCTAAGACAGGGGATGCTCTTGATTTCTGCAGCCCCTCTCAGTAGGGCTGGCAAACCAGCCAACCCCTGCTCCTATAGATGGGGTAGCCCCTCCAAAGACTAACCCCCACCCCCTCGGCATGGGGCAGTACATTGCTTTCTGTTCTGCTAGGTGATCATGACATGACGACAACCCACCAGAGCACCTACCAGTCTGTGCCCTTGGAGAAGCGGGTAGCCCAGTCACGCGGTAAAGGAGTAGTGCCAGCAGGGAAACGAGCCCAGGTGGAATACATGACCAAGTACCAGAGCGATTTCCCAGCATGCAGCTTGTTACCTGCACGGATTCAGCCTGCTCAGCCTCCTCTGGACAACCTGGCAATCAACCAGGGCTTCAGGTGAGTGCAGCCATCAAGTAACCCCCTGGGCAGGGCTTGGAATGGGGGAACTTCAGGCAGGACGAGGGGGTTGTCTCAGCATTGCAACAAGGGGGCTGTGGATCCCTGGGACAGCAGAGCATGTGAGCGGAGCCTTTAATAGAGAGTTAGCACCAGGGCTTTCCCCTCCTCACAGTCTGAGGAAGGCTGCCTCCAACCCCAGCAACAAGTTTTGGGAAGAGGAAGGAAACATGCTTTTGTTCCTATAAACAACATTGCCAAGGGCTTTGAGATCCTCAGGTGAATGGTGCCTGGCAGGCAGACCTTCACTGATATTAACACACACGCTTACCAAACGCAGTAGCTCAGTGTTGACCCCATTTTACAGATGGGGAAACTAAGGCATGGAGCAATGAAGTGACTTGCCTGAGGATGTACAGAGAGTCCTCAGCAGGGCCACGAATAAAACGCAGAAGATGCTGCAGTGATGGCTGGTGGTGCAAAGCTCTAAAACACCTGATTCACCTCACCGCTGAAGTGTGTCCCTCTTCCACCCAGCACAGATTTTCAGACGGTGCAGAGGGAAAGCTACCATGGCTGGGACACCCGCAGATACCCTCGTGCCTGCCCCATCAAGCTGAAAGAGGAGCTGGCAGACTTGGGGAAAGAGAGGGATGGAAAATTCAGTGGAGACACTGTGACCAAGGTAATGGGAAGGGAAGGAGAGGAGGGTTAAATGGAGATAAAGGGACTCTGAGCACAGTTAATTTCAGTGAATGAATAAAGATTCTCACTCACACAGTAGGAATAAATCTAGTGAGTAGAGCACAAGGCCTGGGAGTCAGGGTGCCTAGGTTAATTCCCAGCTCTGCCACTGCCTTGTTTTGTGACCTTGGGCAAGTTTCTTCCCCATCCTGTCTGTAAAATGGGGACAGTAACACTCCTTTGCCCCATAGGCTGGGAGGCTTTGAAAATTAGCCAGTGTTTGTAAAGGGATAAAAGGGTGTGGGCCACGCAGTTCCCATTGATGAATTGCTTGGAGATTCTTGGACAAGCCATGGCAGAAGTTCAGGATATTTATATTCTGCATTCATTCAATAAGTCAGTAATTCTAAACCAGGGTGCAGGGTGAGGTGGGGCCAGTATCTGGGCACCTCTTGGCTTTCGTGGTGGGGGTGCAGTGGCTGCTTTGTGTAGCATGGACAGAGAATCCCCTATTGCAATGATCCTGACAGTGGGGGGGAGGGGGAAGGAAGCTAAAGAAAAAATGAGACGGAGGGAACCTTGCCTGAACCCCCGCCCCTAGGTATCAGTGTCACTGTCCACGGTTTTGTCCTGTCCCTGCATGGCAGAAATGGGCTGGCTCCCTCTTCACCGGTGTCATTGTGACCCAGTAATAAACCATTGGTGTAAATCTTTCACTTGGCCATTCCACTCCCAGCTCCACGCCTGGAACAGCAAGCAGCATTTCCCACCGCCACGTTCTCTACGTACCAAGGGATAGACTTTTCTCTTTACTTTAAAAAAAAAAAAAAAAAAAAAACTCTGCAGTGTTCTCGATGGGAGCTATAATGTGCAAAACTCTTTTGAAAATCTGGCCATGCCTCTCTGCAATCTAGAGGTGAAAAGTGCTATAAAGAGCTTGTGGTTGTTCTGACCCTCTCGTGTCTCTTTCCAGCTCTCTTACCCTCCTCTGCCCTTGGACAGGCCTCCGGGGACTATCCAGTGGCCCCCCACAGTGCTGAGATCCCTCCCTGCAAAGTTTGATGATTCCACAGCCCACAAGTTCTTCTTCAGAGAGTGGAGAGTCCAGCCCCGAATCCGGCAAGGTGACCCCCACGATGGAGTCTACATCCGACCTCTGGTAATACGATGGGGGCAGGAGACCACTCCTGCTAACTGGCTGGCACCCTCACACAACACAGACGGTCCTGTGAAAGTGGAATGCATCCAAGAGCCTCAGCACAGCCTTGTACACCAGACAAATTCCACAGGGTACCACAAAGACAGAGGCCACTGTCCCATGAATGATGATGTGCTTGAGAGAACAGTAGCCAACTCCTATTTCAGTCAGGGTCGTACCATGACAGGTGCTGCATGGACTCCCCAGGCATGCAGTCCCTGCCCTGCAGAGTTTATTATCTGAATAGACGCATGGGGAGAGGGGGATTTGAGAGACAGGCAGCATAATGGATGCAGGTATCACCTTTTAAAGAAGTGTGGCACTAACATGATGGGAGGTGAGGGAGTTGTTACCCAGGGCAAAGATGTGTAGGGAGAGGAAGCTGGTGGGCAGGGAATGAGGGAGGGGAACAGGAGCTTGAAGCAAACATCCAGTGAGGAAACAATGACCAGAACAAAGACAGCCCTCTTGCTGCAATGTGTAGTGGGGCGAGGGGGGGAGGGGAAAGGGGAGAGAGAGGAGGCTGGAGCTGTGCACCCTGCTGCTGCTGCCACCAGCCAGTGTAGGGTCCTCTACTGCTCCCCCCAGGAGGGGCACAGCTGAGACAGCAACAGGTGTAGGGAAGCAGCAC